ATACTCTAGACATTATCCAACATGATGTCTGGATTATACTTTTCGTTAAAATGATAAAATACTAATTAAATTTATTTTGACAGACATAATGTATTTTGACAGACGTAATTAATTCATAGTAATTTTATAATAAATAGTAAATTGGTCCATTTGCCAAAATATGACGTAATTAATTAGTGAAGAAGTATAGTCTGGATATCAACCTTTTGTCAAGGACGGCTTTCCATAAAAAAACTGTACATCATCAGTATTTTTTTATCTAGTAAAAAAAAAAATCAGTCATGAATTATTTACTTTTATTTAGTTTTTATACATATTTAAATATAAAATTTTATTATTGCCATTACTCCAATGTTTTTTTTATGTAATTTAGTGTTCCTGTTAACACCTTAATTTATTTGTTTAGGCAAAATGTTCGTTCTAAAATACGGTTCTTTTTATTTGACGTGTCTCAACTTATTTTTATTATTTTATATTAGAATTTTAATTGTTTATTGAATGTCAGAAAATTGTTAATTTAATAAAGTATATGTACAATTAGTCTTAATAAAGACTTAAGTCATTTATTTTAGTAATGCAACGCAACAAAAAAAATATTGTAATAAACGTTATCTCAAAAATTCCAGATACTTTCTCTATTTAAATTCTCTTGATTTTCCTTCTTTTCCAACTTTTTATCAATCCAGTTGTTAATTGCCGTTATTGTTCTATCACATTTAAGAATATCAATACTATATTACCATTGTACAAATATTAGGGCAGTGACATTTATTACATAATATTTTAGGGGGTGGGAGGGTATTTAAAGGTCATATAACATATAAGTGTAATGTAAGATTTTTCATATTACATGGGGGTGGGGAGTATGGGCTTATAACAAATAGATATTACGTAATAAATGTCACTGCCCTAAGATACCATAAACTGATTAATTGTGTTGAACTTATATTTCACGAGCTATTCTGTATTGACTTGAAGAATCAGTATTTTTTCTATGATCCATAACTATTTTAAAATTTTTTATTATTTTTGATTCTTCATTTGTAAAAATTCGTTTCTTTTTGAATTGCCATTGCTCGTTCAATTCATTTTAATCTTGGAATTTGTTGGCCAAAACTAGATTACAGTCAAAGCTCGTTATAGTGAATCTCACTATAGTGAACATTAAGTAAATCTTGTTATAGTGACCTATTGATTTTTTTCCTTATAATTAATTTCTCTCGATATAGTGAATTTTCTTAATAAATCTCGCTATAGTGAAAAAAAAGGGAAAAAATTACATAGTGGAACAGAAAGTTCACTATAACGAGCTTTGACTGTATATAATCATTTGGTATCAAAATAATTATTTTATTATCATTATTATTAAATAAAATGCAGAACTATTACCTTCTACACATTAACCTCTCAGCGATTAAGTTTGTATTAATTTTAAAGTTTGAATACAAACATAAATATATTCATCAATTGGAAGATTTTTTTTTACCAATATCAAAATTTTTGACTATATTATTTTTTATTTCAACAGTTACTGGTTCTGTTTTTTATTGCTGGAATTACAAAATAATTGTTTTACACCAAAATCTTTCTAGATAATTCTTTAAATTAATACTATAGAAAGGATTTATAATTAATTGTATTATTATATCTAGTTGTACATTAATATTTATATCCAGTTGTAATATCAATAGTTCGTAACTATTATGGTTTTTAATAAAGAATTGCTTATAATAATATATGTCCAAGTATTATTTTATCAGAATTTAGTGGTAAAAATTGTGAATATACTACTAAATCTAAATCTTCAAGATTCTGATTTGATTCAAAATCTATACTTGGCAAATCATGTTAACTTATTTTACCAAAATTATCACGAAATAAATCTATTTTTTTTTATTAATGACACTCTTTTATTAACTAATTCTAAATTTTTTTGTATCATCAACTATTTCCATCTATTTATTTAATTTTCTATTTCATCAATATTTTCTTTTATTCTTACTGAATTCCATACTCGCATAGCAAATTTTGCTAAAATTTCTCTACTATCATCTTCTTCAATTGTAAATTTCTTTGATCTAATGTGATGGCACACTGCCCTTATAGCATGATCATAACACCATCCAACCAATACTTTTAAACTATCAAATTCTTTATTTGTTATAATAGTATTAATAATTTTATTAAAATATTGTTCTGGAGTTTCATTATTATATTTTTTTTAATATTACAACCAGTAAATTATATGCACAATCAGTATTTATTAAGTAAGGAACTGAATTAGAATTAAATAATTGTAATTCTTTTGTCGGTAAATGTGTAAATAATGCTGAAAATTATTAGAAGATAGATCATTAGTTACAAGTTCGAATACATCTACTGGAAACGCATCTGATTTTTTACCTAGTAAAAAATGCATTCAAGATTCTCTTATAATTTTCTGTAGTATTATTTATATTTGTGAAAGACAATATGGAATTGACTTTACTAATTGTCCTATATAATTTAGAAAAATTCCTGGATTTTCATGCATGATAATGATAGTAAATGATCACAACTTCATTAAATATTGGTAATGATAATGGTTGAGTTTGAATAAATTCTTGAATAAAGTCTCGTATCTGGTATTTAACTGCAGATTTTGAACCATTTATTTAAGAAATTAGTCTTTTTTCTTTTTGTTAATATCTAAAATTGCTGCATAAAAGTTATTCACATAAATTATAACCTAGCTATTTATTAGTTGAATTAATCATTATTGCAGAATTGGCTGATATCAATTACCAGTATATCTATCTAATTTCGGTTGATAAGGTGATTTATAATCAAATTCCATTAATTTTTGTCTAGATAATCCATGCAAATGTTTTTTCTTCTAAGTTATATATGCTGCCCAAATTATTTTGGAATGCTATAAGCCTATAATTATAATTTGGAATGTCGTAATTTATTCAGTTTATATATAATTTACTATGTAAAGTGCCAAAATAATTTGGGATGTCATAATTGAATTTGGGATTTTACTTATAATTATGACAGTCCAAAATAATTTGGATGGCATGTATATTCTAAGTGCTTACAGTCAGACCTCTATGTACTGATACGATAATTGCCTGTACCGATAAATTTTCTATATCCTATTATACAATTAATGAAAAAACCTTGTTATACTGATATTATATATAGTTTCATGATGTAACATGTACTGATACTTTTCTTTACCTCTTTATAATTAATACATAGTAAGATGTACTGATACTTTAGGTTATACTGGTATTAATTCGGGTTAACACTATAAATTTGGCCAGAGTTAACATAAAGGTTCCATCCAAATCACATGACATTTTAATATATTAGCTATCCAAAGTTTGCATAATGCTGGCAAGAATTGGATTTTGGCTTGCATTATGATTCACTGATGGCGGTTATGTAATAATAATTTGATATACCGATATATTTTTTCTAAAACAACAGTGTTGGTACATAGAGGTCTGACTGTACATTATTTTTTATTAAGTGAAAAGATTACATAAATATTGACAAAATTTCCAGAAATTTTATTAATTGCTATTTTAAATGTAACTTTTTTATTTATATTACATCCATCACAATAATAATACTTTGTTAGAATTTTGTTTGATTTATATGTTTTTTAACAATTATGGATATTTGTGATGGGAATTCTGACTGTTTTCTGAGTAATTCAACCAAATAATAGTTGCTAACTTGCCACAACCTCCAATAATAATTGGATTTTTGATCATCAATAACACATAAAATTAATTTATCTCTTTTTGAGTAATTGTATGGTGCACATAGTCTAAAGCCACCACTTTTTATTATGTGATTTCAAATGAATAGAAAAAAAAATTTAATCAATATTTTTTAAAAAAACTTTCTGTAATATTGTAGTTTAAACAGTATACTTTTATGTAACAGAGAGTTTTTTCAAATTGAATTACTGTAGCATAAGATATATAAGTTTTAATTTTGGTTATTTTACTATGTTTTGAATAAATTTGGAGGAATTTGGCCAGTTTAATACTAATATAATGCAGGCCAAAATTTATAAACTGGCCTAAATTAAGAATTAATATAAAAATATTTTTGTTTAAAATAACTGAATGAGAATTATTTATCTATAAACTTTATTTTTTTTTTGAAACAAATTAAATATATATTTATTATTCTTAATGAATATAGAAAAAATTTAATGGGTATCACAATTTTATATATAATAAAATTTCTAATAATATGAATTTATAAATCATTTTAGCTAGAATTAATATTAATTCTGGCTAAACAATTGGTATTCTATTCTACAAACCCACCTATATATATATGATAAGTAAATATTGACCAATGAAATTTGCTCACGTGATTTTATAAAAATTTGGCCAAAAAATAAAAAAGTGGTGGCTTTAGACTGTGCGCACCATAAATTGAAAATCTTTAGCTTCTTGATAAATAAAATAACATTAATATTTGCAACATTAGGTATAAATGAATTATCATATCAATACTCATAAATAATTCTCCTAAGTTTTGATTTTGTTTTATCATTTTCAATAACGGGTTGCAATTAATGATCGTTCTTGATAGAAGATTGATAATTATCATCATCATTATACACTGATTGGAAATCATAATTATAATCTTCAATAAGTCATTTGAAATTGTTTTGCAGAACAGGAATTCCACATAATAATACATTTAGGTAAATCTTTCGTATTTTGTCTTGGTAAAATTATGCGGTTATAAATCTGATTCATAAATTTATTATTCATATTTTGGAAAAAGAGATTCAATTGGTCTATGTAATACTGATGCTAGTCCAAAAAATGCTATCATAGAATTCCAGAAATTTGATTTATACATCAATTTTAATTCTGAAATATATTTGCTCTCTTTCTTAAAATTATAATTATTATTTATAATTCTAATATTTCCATTATTCAATGCTTCTTCCCGATAAATAATATCCTGTTCAAAAATTTTTTGTTGCAAATAAAATTGGGAATGTATCATTAATTTAACCATTACAGCTAATCGCAACTAAATATTAAAATTTTCATTTCCAAATACAATTAAAAAAGCACTATTAAAAAAATAGTTTCCATTGGGAGTTGATCTTATATTTTTCTGGAAGCAATTTCATTGCTTCGTAATCTTGCTTATCATCATCCCACTCTTCATTAATATCAAAACTATTGAGTAATATATCAGCTCTATCAAATTGAATGCCATAATTAATAACCTCGCTAAGTGTAATATCATTTCTATTAGAAATTTATCATATTTATAGTATAGTGCTGTAAACTTTAAAAGCAGGTTTTATTTAGGTACAAAAATAAATCTTTAGATTTGTTATTTTAATATATTACGAACTATTAAAAAAATTGACATTTTTTTTTATTACATTAGCATACTTACAAAGTATTAATTTCATAGTATTACCTCCTTTTCCTTAATTATCATAAAATCTACTTTCTTTGTGGTCTGTGTGATCTGTCACGTACGTGAAACTTGACCCACCTGCATACACGTTATCGATCCTATTCATGGTGTATTGTAAAATATATGTGATCAACAATGTGCATGCAGACAGCGTCTGTGTACTATATGTACTATATATGATAGATATTTGATAAACATAAACATACAAGCCATAAAAATACACGATTATCTTTTTGTGTTATTAATGTTCCTTTACTTTTTTTATGACAGCCTTTTTAAATATAATTTTCTTTCTTAATGTTGAATGAATGAACTTTTATGATTTTTGAAATCATAAGTAGAAATCCTATTTTCGCTTATTTTAATTAGAAATACTACTAATTTTATCTATTGTAGACTTTAAAATATAAAGTAGATAAAACAATTAATATAACGCGTACTCGATACTGGTAGTAATAGAAAATAACATATAACAAATTAGATGTATTAAATTATATCAATTAAAATAAATAAAATATATGTTTTTAATTCTTAAATAAAACACATTAATATTAATACATATGGATCGAAAATGTATAATAAGGCTATCAAGTATGTTCTACAATTTCAACTGTATAAAAATGGTATATTTTCAATACATTATAAAAAACTGTACACTTGTTCTTATATAGACATGTACAAAAATTGTACAAAACTTGAATAATTTTTTTTTCATAGGGATATATAAAAAAAGAAAGAACATCCTCAGATTCTTATTGCAAAAGCATAAATAAAAACCATTTTATTTTCTACTTTCTAAAAAAAAGTAAAAAAATTCTCAATCCTTAATCCATCAGACTTTTCGTCCTAATTTTTTAAGATCCAAAGCATCCAAGTAAATACCCATAACTAAAAATAAAAGAAGCATTAGTAAAGACTTTACCAATGTTCCCTACCCCAATTTTTAAATCAAGTCAAGGACCAAATCCTACATCAAGACACCCAGAAAGATACCAATAAGGAAAAAAAATTAGAAACACTAACATTAGTTAAAGTTTTTTGCTAATGTTCTCTAAAATCTCAACTTCCTATTTCAAAGTTTCAAAACACGCACCTTTTTCCAAATGACCAAATCCAATAGCTGAAATCTGAGTTCTAGGCGTTCAGAAAGATATAACAAGAAATTAAAAAAAAAAACGGAAAGAAATGTTAGTTAAAAATTAATATACTATTCTCTTGATATTTTCTCTCTAATTTTAATCTCATACCTCATGGTTTATTCTGAAGTCCAAGTTCGAAATTGCATCTATAAGCAATAAAGTATAATTTTTTGGACAAAAAAGATTTTGGTTTGATTTTTTATAAAAAAAAAAATACAAAAATTCATTTTAATTTTTTACATTTTTTATTTCTAAACAATTAAATTGAGAAATATTTGTCTTTTTAATAATAAATAAAAAAGTTCGGTTGGTTTTATTTTATAAAAACAATAAAGCAAATGAATTAAAAAAAACTGCCACGTAATGATTTTATAGTTAAACAAATAATGAATTACGGTTAATCCATTATGAATCCGGATTATATGATAACCGTTAACCTAACCCTATAAAAAATTTTTATCCGAATATTTCCATTATTTCTCCGTGTCTTCCGTAAAAATTCCGTGAAAATGATACATTCCCGGATATCCGTGTTAGCGAGATGAAAATTTCCATGATTTAAGGCTATAAATTCCATGAAAATGATACATTCACGGAAAAAACATGGAAAGATAAAACACGGATCAGATTTTTTACAGGGTAAATGTCAAACCGAATACCCAATAATAACAGATATCCGTTTATATCCAATATTAATGGTTTACGGGTCTGAATACTAAAATTATTTTACCTTCCATTTTTTTTTTCTTTATAAATACAACATGAATAGTCATATTTTTTTTCGTATCCAATAGTTTTTGTAATTTTGCATATCATGTAATCGTGCTCCTGTACCTACAGCTTTTTCTAATTTGAACGTAATTATATAACCATGTAATCTGAATGAATAATTTCTTTAGTCTTACAGTATAAAATATTAGCAAGAATATCATCTAAAGATGATACTTCTATTTCAACCCATTTAAAATGGTAATGCTGGACCTGTAGCAGGCTTTATCACCAAAATATAATTTGTTCTTTATTATTTGTTTCATCAAATACATCAACATCACAATCATTTTCACTTGAATCTATTACTAAAGTTTTTTCTGAAGATAAATTTGAAATATTAGTTGATTTTGAGTTAGTTCTTATCCTTTGAAAGGTACAAGTGGAACATAAAGAGAAGTTAAAAGTTGCTTTAAGATCTAAGGAATAACCAAATTTGGTAACGTTTTCTCAAATAAATTTGAGTGGCCCAGATTGTAAGTCAGGTGACGAAACTCAAGAAAAATGCGTCATTTCAAATTTTTTTTTTGTTTGGCTTGATATTTTTGTCGCAAGAGCATTCTTTTTTTTCCCATACTAAGTTCAATTCCACAGTAAAGGCACTTTTTACAACCAAAACAAGTGCCAATGAGGTATTGAGCTTTATTGTTAGATGGGTTTATTAACGTACAGTAAATAAGTGGAACGCGTCTTTTTCTTTGTTAATATACCACTAATATACCGTTAAAACATTTGGTAATTTATTGAGAGTAGTAGAGTACATATTTGTGATTGATACATCAATCATCTTTCTGGTAATCATAACGGGTAATCAAAATTTCATACATGATAATATTTAATTATTTAAATGATGATTTTTTAATTACAAACTTATGTAAAGAAAAAAATTTTTACATATACTCTACAATTAGTATTGAGCTTAAAAAACTAATGATAAAAGCTAAAATATAAAAGTAACAGATAAAAATAAATGAAATATAATAATTTCCCTTCAATTAGAATGTTATTACGACGTCACCATCACCTTCGTGTATATGATCTTCGGATTTGTGTATATAAGATCTAATTTCACCAATCAAATATTTAACATCATCATTACTTAATGCAAATATAGCAGCGGCGTACTTAGATTTAATCCCCTCAATCATATCTAATGGATTTTTATTGTAGACATTGTTGTTGACATTGTTGTTGACATTGGATATTAACAGCATTTTATTATATAGATCATAAATATTTTCCGCTTTTCGATGTTGAAGATCAGTAACTTTTTCCGGAGCATTTTCTCCATTATTATCGCTAAATAGCAATTCCCCGAGACGGTAATAACAACGAATAAGTTTCTTATTAGCTACTTTGTATGGCCAGCGTTTTTTTCCATCAGGAATGAAATGATGAAACAAGTAAGTTCCATAATGTTTTCCAAAATCAATATAAGAACTTATAGGTTTAAGTTTTGTATGACGTTCGACTTCTTCGATTGAATCAAGGATTTCATAATATAAATGTTTAAAAAAATATTTATCATCAGCCAGATGAGCAGAATAATTTTTTTTAATGGATTTAAATGTTTTCTTGTTGATTTCTTTAAACAACTTATGTAAATCTTTGAATTTTGAGGCATAATCTAATTTAATCAACCCTTTATGCAATTTTGTATAATTTTTATTTTCTTCTTTTCTTAATTTTAAGAGTTCTTTCAATATTAATTTTATCGATATTTGATGTAATTCATTTGATAATCTTTCTAAAAATTTTAATAATTTTTTTGATTCTTTTGATTCTTTTGATCCTTTTGATCCTTTTGATTCTTTTGATTCTTTTGATTCTTTTGATTCTTTTGATTCTTTTGATTTTTTTAATTTTTCACTTGCTTCCTTTTTAAGCTTATCAATTATCTCATATAATGTTTCTATCTTACCGGAATTTTTCGTGAGTTCAATATTAAATTTTCCCGAAAAATTCTCAATAAGTTTTTTCTCAATAAGTTCTTTCGAAAGTTCCTCAATAAATTTTTTCGAAACTTTCTCAATAAGTTTATTCGAAAATTCCTTAATAAAATCTTTCGAAAATTTCTCAATAGATTTAAATTTTTTCGAAAATTCCTCATTAAATTCTTTCGAAAATTCCTCAATAGATTTTTTCGAAAGTTTCTCAATAAATTCTTTCGAAAATTCCTCAATAGAATTAAATTTTTTCGAAAATTCCTCAATAAATTCTTCCGAAAATTCCTTAGTAGTTTTAAATTCCTCAGTAGATTTAAATTTCTCAATAAATATAAATTCCTTAATAAGTTTTTCCGAAATTTTCTCAATAGATTTAAATTCCTCAATAAATTTTTTCGAAAATTCCTCAATAGATTTTTTCGAAAATTTCTCAATAGATTTAATTTCCTCAATAAATTTTTTCAAAAATTTCTCAATAAATTTTTTCGAAAATTCCTCAATAAATTTTTTCGAAAATTCCTCAATAGATTTTTTCGAAATATCAATAGATTTAAATTCCTCAATAGATTTAAATTCCCCAATAAATTTTTTCGAAAAATCCTCGATAGAATTTTTCGAAATATCAATAGATTTAAATTTCTCAATAGATTTAAATTCCTTAATAGATTTAAATTCCTCAATAAATTTAAATTCCTCAATAAATTTTTTTGAAAATTCCTTAATAGATTTAAATTCAATAGATTTTTTCGAAAATTCCTCAGATTTTTTAACAATAAATTTTTCCGAAAATTCCTTAATAAATTTAAATTCCTCAATAGATTTAAATTCCTCAATAGATTTTTTAAATTCCTCAATAGATTTAAATTCTGAAAGTTTTGCTGAAAGTTCAAATTTTTCTGAAAATTTCTTAATATATTCATATTCCACAATAGATTTTAATTTCTTAATAAAATTTATTGAAAATTTCTCAATAAAATTTTCTGAAAATTCCTCAATAAGATTTTCTGAAAATTCCTCAATAAAATTTTCTGACATTTTCTCAATAAAATTTTTTGAAATTTTCTCAATAAAAGTTTTTGAAAATTTTTCCGCCGAAGATTCCTCATTAGATTTTTGCGAAAATTTCTCAATAAATTTAGATAATTTTTTTTCTACCTTATCAATCTTCCCGCCATCCATATCCATATCATCATCATCATTATTCATCAAATCTTGTCTTATATTGTCATACATCTCAAATAATTTTTTTTCTATTTCACCAAGTTTATCATCAGAATGACCATGAACTATTTTTGCATACCCCATATCCAAGATGGGAGTTTCTATCTTTTGATCAATCTCTTTTAATATTTTAGGTGTCCTGGATAATTCTTTTTTTATCTTATAAAGTCTCAACGGCAGATTTGTAATCTTTTCCAGATGGTTTGTATTCTTTTGCTTCGACATCTGTATTTCATTCCATTTCTTATAATATTCATGTTTTTCCAAATCCTTAATTTTTAATATTTTAGGTATCTCTTTGCGTAATTCATCAACATCAGCACTTGCTGGATCCGTGAGATTATTTAAGTATTCTGCCCGCCGGTTAATATATTTCAATTTGACTTTTATTACACCAAGTTCCTCAAATAATTTACCATTAAAATGAGTAATTTCAGTAAATTCTTTAAGCAATGTCTTTGTCTTACTTTTCTCTATTATTTGGTTAATTACTTCCAACTTCTTAGATATCTTAGAAAATTCTTCTTCTATTTCTTCTTCTATTTCACCACTTTCTTTTTTTTCCTCGTTTTCATTTTTTATTATATTTAGCAATCCCTTTGATGCCCCATAAAGTTCCCTAAGTATATGGTAATCAACAGACAACTTAGTTGATTCTGATTTACAAGGATATTCTTGATCTACCAAAATAATTTCGACAAGCTCTTTCAATGACAATGTCTTCCTAAGTTTTTTCATATTCAATTCTGATTGTGAGTTAGTATCTTTTTGTAATATAAAATCAAGTCCTTCCATCGCACTAAATAATTTCCATATCCACGAAGCAATATCTTTCCCAGAGACAGGCTTTGGAACCTCGTTCCCTGCGTCTTTCAAACCAGTTAGACGCCCAGCAGTTAGACGCTCAGTCAAATCAGTCGAATGCTCTGATGAGTCTGATCTAAATTTTAATATTTCCGACAATTCACGAATAAATTTTATTTTCAACAATATTTTCGGCAATCTAAGAATACATTTTATCAATTTATTCGGCGATATTTTCAACGATCTAATAAATTTCCATATTCCCGACAATTTAAGAAGAAATTTTATCAAATCATTCGACGGAAATTTATTCGACAATATTTCTAATTCAGATTTATAAACAGCTTTTATGTAGTGATCTTTTAGTTTTTCCAAATCACGGGCGGTATTTCTTTTAATGTGAATTTTAATACCACTTAAAAGTCGTTCTACATCCTTTCCCCCTTCACTTGTAAGAGTGAAAATCTTTAGCGAATAATGAATTAAACAAGTGAAAATAAAAGAGACCACTCCAAAAATAATAATCGCCATGTTTATTGGAACCGCATTTTTTTCTTGTAGTGAAGTCAAGTCAAGTATAATAAAAACAATGAATAGTAATGAGCTAAAAATAGTAAACCCAGTATAAAATGACTTCATCGCTAGTAACCAAAAATTCCAAGTTTCAATTGTATTTTCAGTATTTCGAATGTCATCCTCATCAATAATTTTCAAAGAAAGTTCCACACTTTCATCGCACACTTCTGAAAATTTAATGTCAATACTATTATCATCCGTCGATGGAGTCATAAAAGATCGTAAATTCGAAAATAAAGACATCAAAGAAGCTACTCCGACTACAGCGTTTTCTACAATTTTTGTGATGCTAGTTCCAACCAAGAAAATAAAAATAGACCCAAATAAAATGCTAACAATAGAGAAAATAATAGCTTGTAACGTATTTTTTTTCGCAATCTTATGAAGAGCCTTATTCTTATCTGCAATTTTCTTCAAATTTTTCAGACGGAAATTTCTTGCCACTTTACGTCTCCTATCCTTAAGTTCCTTCAAACTTTTTTCTTCATCCATCTTTATCTCGTAACGTAGTTTAACAAAGCTCAAAATATAACGTAAAATCTAACGAATAAAGGAACTTTCTAGTGAATTAAATTAAAAAGTCTGTGAATGTGACCGATTTTTTGATCTTTTCGAAATCTTCATTAAATAAGAAAATAACCTTATTATATATGATAAAAAAAGAAAAAAACTTGATAAGAATGTAATGTCAAACAATAAGAGTTTCCATGATGATAAATCACAATAAAAAAAAAACAATTTTACCAATTTTGTAATTCATAATAACGAAAATTTAATTCTTTTGTTCCATTTGTTTGTAAACCTGACCAAATCTCCAAATTGAGAGTGGATAATAATTGATAGGCTTGTATGTGTCGTGCTACATACGCAAAAATATGCAAAACGGGTGTATAAGATGTATTCGCGTCTACCTAAATAAAATAAAGAAAAAAATTCTTTTGGCCAATATTATACTATCAAAACGTTAATAAAATGCTTTAATAAAATCCAAAGAACTTAAATTTCAAGGAAATACAGGTATTTTTTGTCTTTAATTTTTTAGCACTTTTACACATAATTTTTAACTTTATTTTATAATATACAAAGTATAGAACTGTTATTGCTATTTTTAATGTAAGTCAAAAATAAGAGTTTCCATGATGATAAACCACAATAAAAAACAATTTTACCAATTTTGTAATTCATAATAACGAAGATTTCTACAAATGAACGTGTCAAATGGTAAAAGTCTTGGCAGTACGTAGGTTTAGGAGCTTGGCAAATTTTCTATATCAAGAAATTCTTCCAAAAAAAGAGATTAATTCTTTGTTCCACT